GTGGATGTTGGAAATAGCGTCGAAATACAAAGATTGATTAAGTTGCTGAATAGTATAAGCACCCTGCGTAGGTATGATTATACTCAAGAAAAATAGCAATGCAGCACAAATTGACAGCAGACTTGTTTTAGTTGTTATCTGGTGTTTTCTGAGTTCAGGTTCCTGGTTTCCTCGCAGTGGCAGTATGGATAATTTGGTAACTGGCCGTTTTAAAATTCCGTTTTTTGTTTTCAAGGAGACAACTCGAACGAAACCATCTTTTCCTGGGTGTAAATGTATAACTCGACCTGTCAACCATTTTCCAGCAGGTAAGTTATCTTCTTGAATTGTCACCAATTGACCGACTTGAATGTTAGATGTCGACTGCTTCCATTTGTTTCGAACGGTAAGTTGTGTAAGGTATTCCGATTTCCAGCGCTTCCAGATATCAGCCATTAGTTTTTCTGTTAAGTTCCATCTTGTTCGCGCGTCGTGTTCTGTTTCCAGTATGGTTACATCAGCTGTTCCAGTTAAGAAATGCGAAGGCGTTAAGAAGTCCAGGTCCTCCACATCCTCAGTTAATGCACACAGCGGCCTAGTACTGATCAATAAGTGTGCGCATTATTTTATAAGTACTATCTGCGGCCCGCACCTTGAGCATCGCTGTCGCTAATAAAATTTCTGTCATATCGTTGTTTTGTTGAGTAACGTTGGAGTTACTTATGCTGACACGATTATTTTCCACTTCTGACGACATCGACGACTTGTTTTTCACATTCGCATTGTTTTGCGGCTTGTTTGAATATGACCGGAAGGCGTCATGTAACATAGTGTTATGATTTTCGTTGCATTCACGACACCGCTTCTCTGAAAGGCATGCTTTACCTTGATGATTAAAAAGACAGTTTTGGCAAACATTTAATTTTGTTACTGTTTTACGTCTTGTTTGTGGAGACATGTCCAAAAATTCTTGACAAAAGAATAGTCCATGATCCTTACTGCAGAGTGGGCATGTATATGTTATGAAATTCTTGTTTTTAACAGCTTGTAAGTTAGGTGACGCAGAACCCCTCGACGAGATGTTGGATGGATGCTGGGTTGTTACTCGATTACTGGCGTATGACAGTTTGAAATAATTCGATTTCGAAGTTTTCGGATACTGGTTTTGATTACTTGGAATGTGTGATTTTTAATGAGTGTTGTCTTGTTTTCTACGTCCAGACTCCATCGACGTAAATGTTTGTTCCAAAAACTTGAGAAATTCTTGTAATTTTGGCAGTTCCCGGGGACATTTCAAAGATTGAACATAATCATGATGAGTTTCGTTATCGAGTTTTTGAGTCAACAGGTAAACAATAATCGGATCCCAGGTGCTTATATCAATTCCTAGGTTTTTTATTGCATTTAAGCATTCCTGCGTAGTGTCGTGAATTTTCTTGATGTTGGTCACTGATGCTTGATGGGGAACTGGCAAACTCATTAATATGTTCATATGAGAAGTGAATATAAGTTTCGGGTTATTGTATCGGTTGTTTAAAATGTCCCAACAGATAATATAATTATCCGAGCTGATCTGTAGATGTTGTATCAGCCGCTCCGCCTCTCCCCTGACTTTGCTCTTTAAAAACTGCATTTTTTGAGCACTGGAAAGGGAGCGATTGTTATGAATGCATTCCGTAAATAGATCTTTGAACGGAACCCATTGGTGATAATTCCCGTTGAAGATAGGAATATCAAGCTTTGGTGTAAATTGTTCCTGATGAGCTGTTGACCATATTTTCTTGTTGATTGCCTTCTTTATGTCACTAAAGCTTCTCTCATGGACGGAAAATTCTTGTTCGTATGCTACGTTAGTACCCTCCAGCTCGCTGTCGAGCTCCCAATGAAGGGAGTCGATACGGTTCCATCTAACACTCAAGGTCTTCAGAGCATCTTCTAATTCCCAGTTATCGGTTAACAAATCCAAGTCAATGTTTGCTAACGTTCGCTTAAAAGGTCTAAAATTGCTACTTTGCTTACGCAACATCTCATCCAGCTTGCTGTTAATACTGCGGTCCACCTGTCGCGGTGTTGCTGACGACGTTGATGGCGGGGGGTTGAAATTTGATGGTTTTATGATCGGAGTAGAGGGTCTTGATTTGTCTTCAGTTGGTAAGAAACTTTGTATGTAGTCTTTTGTTTTTGTATAAAAATCAAGAACTTGTCCGTATTGATTCTGTACAATGTAGGAATGGTTTTCATCACACAACTCACGTACCTGGAGGTGAAGGTTGTGAAATTCCTGCCAGTAAGTCTCCAAAGTCTCCAGTCGTTTTTTGATATGAGCAGCAGTCCTACGGTCGGCGCCGTCCTTTTTGAAGTTGCTGAGCAGCTGCTCCATACCAGAAACCATCTGTTGTTGATTTGCTTGTAAATCTTCCATGATGTTGTTGTTGATAGGTATTCGCTAAGTGTTAAGTGAACTGATCGCTTCCTGTTTGCGGTCCGTGTGACGATGAACTTCCAGCGATATATTATGCGCCTTCTCAATCTGCCTGGTGAGACCCGCTTCTGGGAGGCCAGACAAACCGATTCGCTATCACCGAAAAAATCACAATCACACTTCACTCTCGAAGGACCAAAAAATGTTGTGGTATTCAACACCTTTTGATGTAAATGTTACTTAAAATACTGTTTATGCACAAAATGTTTATTATATTGTTATAATATTATTGTTACAATGTTTATAAATGTTATATGTTTATAAATGTTATGTATGTGAGCACACACGAGACAATGTTGGCGTCCGTACATGTACTGACTTAAATAAAAACTTTAAAGTAAATTGCCTACGCGTGCATAATGTGTTCGGTGTAAACCGAACACTAGTCGTGACTAACTGATAGGTGTCAGGAACGCATCCTCTGAACGGCCGAACTATAATTAACTATATACCTATTTATACTTTATAAACTTTATAAAATGTTTTGCTGTTCTAATAAAAAACGGGGACACAGAGTACATAATGACTGCTTTATTTTTCATATAACTCTTACTTTTAAGAATTGCAAACATTTAATAATTAATACATTATAAAAATTAATTTTACCATTTGACTTAAATATGAATTTAAACTTAATTATTGAAGTAAAGAAAAATGTAGGAATCAGTTAAATAATATTGCTGTGTTTAAAGGCCAATATGTTTATGAGGCTACTCTCTCTTTCACCTGTCCCTGGAAAATAATAAACTTATTATCATTTAAATGCATGAATTTAAAAACATAATGATCTTACACAGACTAGCCAAATACGCAGGAGATATTAAAGTGTACCAGGTTTCTGAGGATTCAGATGCACTGTCTATTCTCTCAATCTCGGTATGTTAAGAAAATGCTCACCCATCCATGGACTGACTTCGACAACTTCAGCTTAATCTCGCAGATCTATTTATCCTTGCAGCTGTTAATTAACCACGAATTCCTCTTCTATACGACTAACGCTGTAGGCGATGACCCACGCTATCAAGCCCTCAGCACACTGTCATCGGGCATCAATCATAAATCGGACATCGGCCCTTGTGAGTATCAAATACTATGGAATTTTTACTATCCTGGCACAATGAACAGCGCATCACATGCGCGGACATCTAGCAGCACTTCAGAAGCATTACTAAATATCTATACCTCACTACACTAAAAGTTTCATCATTATGACTTGGGAATATAATCCGAAGCACCGCTCAAACCCTTTTGGAAAATAGCGTGATGCTATAAAATATAGTGCTAATGTGACCGTGAGGTACGGGTGGTTAAGTAAGGTTATACATTTATTTGGTTGATAAATAGATACGAAAAAAAAAAGATATTTCAAAGTTGCTTAAATAGGATAATCTCAACATTCTTTATTTTTAATATACTACATTGAGCATTTATTTTCATTCCTCTTCTTGTTGTGTGGGCAAATCTATCGATTTAATATAAACATTCAAGATAAATATCGACATTAATTTTGATATAGTTGAGTGATTGAGTCAATCACAAGCGTACATGTAAAATAATTTGTTTAAAAATGAATTCATCAAAATCATACAAATTATCAACAACGATGACTTTTTTGTTTGCAATATCAAATATATAAAATCAAAATTAATAAAATAATTGAAAATATTATATATTATAAACAGTATATAACATAATTTTTAATCTAAAATAGACGCATCATAGCAGTAACGACGTCTTGCGAATTTCCATGTGAGATGTGCAACCATCAGGATTATTTCTATTATTGACACCACAGTCACTCACGGAACATGTAATCATTTTGGGAAACTATTAATTATAAACATTAACACTATTATCATTTTAAAAAAAATACAAAATATCTAGGAGCTTATTTCTTGCGTGCCGACTTGTGCCGACCTGTCATTAAAAATCGGTTACAGAGTCATACATCAGTCTATACGCCAGTATATTCTAAGTCAATGGTACTACCCCATATTGTCCCGAGGATGTCGTATGAGGCGACAGCGGAAAAATTAAACAGGAGATGGGCAGCAGCATCTTCCTGACAACAACTCCAAATAATAAAAAACTGCGCTTGCCAACCCGCCTGCCAAGCGTGGCAACTATGGCAAAATCCCCCCACGATGAAAATCTATGAGGTAAACAGTGGACTTTTATGGCCTGTTACAAATGGATGGAATGGATATATTATATGTCATTTCAGCGTGCCCCTCATATAAATATTATCTCTGTCCGAACAAATATGAAATATACAATATGTATATGAAAATAAGACCTGTGTCAGTTCAAACTTGCAACGATTTTTCACATGCTTACGGACTTGATTTTTAAAAACAAACTTGTTGGAAACTTTTTTAGTGTCAAGAGGGATGTCGGAGTATATGTAAATTAGAGTTTAGTAAGTGTTTTTAATGTATGCAATAAATGGTATAAAAAATAAGGATAAAACACTTTAGGTTTTACCCTAATAGTATACAGCTAGTATACAATATAAAAGAAAATTATCATGTTTATGTACCTTAACTCCAGCAATCTCGATCATAAACATTGCAGCACCAAGCACATGCCCAGCGTTGTATGCCCAGAAGCGAACACCTCGCACATCTTTCTCCTCATGAAAGTTTATTGTCTCTATTCGATCCATGGAACCTTCTAAATCTGATTCTGTATATAACATCTGCTCTGTCGATATGTTACTGAAATTTTATGTTAAGAGTTTAAAAAGTATATAATGTAATGTACATATAACTAATGATATTTTTTTATTATTATTTTTTTGTTTGTTCGGGCAACATTACGGTCCACAGGTGTAACATAAAAGGTTTTGTTTTAACATTTCTTTTCATTTCACAAAAACAAAGCACAGATACACAGATAATTTCCACCGGCAAACAATTCCTACAGAGTTACACAATCGCACTGCAAGTTTGCGAGATAAGAGAGCTGTTGCTGTTGTCGTCTTATTCCTTAAGGCCCTCAACACATCTGTGGCTTTCCTGATTTGAAATTTGCACATGTCCATTGCTACAGTAGCCACTTAGTGGACTATTACCTCATATGCCACTCTAATGTCGTTAAAAAAAATCCTTAAGAAATACAAAATTGGTTTTGCTTACCTGACTTTAATATAATCGGAGACCAGCCACCTGTAAATAGCTTTGGTAGCATGTGTCATGAATACTCTGCCCTTGAATGAAGTCTTTGTCAAAAACCAAGGAAGTGCGCCACTGTGGTCCAAATGGAAACTACAATGAAATAGTTTAAAATTAAATAAATAGTAGTTTTAACCGAAAAAAAGACATTACTATTGATAACAATCTTTCACTTTTTTACGTTTAGTAGCGGTGTAAGATGCACTACCCCATATCGGTGTTGTAAGAAACGACTGAGGGAAACTGAACCACGAGATGGGCAGCAGCATTTTCCTGATAACAACTGAGTAAAAATAATAAACTGCAGTTACCAACCTGCTTGCACAGTGTGGCAACTATGGCAAATATATCCCCCATGAGGCAATCTGTGGGGGAGGCCTATACTCAGCAGTGGATTTCTGATTGGCTGTAAAGATAACAGACACAACTCTAACCCGCCCAAAAGTCATTAGTAGATACTAAGGTTTTGTTTCATAATGTTAAATTTATTAACAAAGTTTTTTATGATTAACTAGAGATCCGGCCTGGCTTCGCACGGGTGATTTCTGGATCTCGTCAATAGCGCCACCTACCGGGTTCAATTGTGAATCATTTAGATCATCCAGTGACCCCACTCAAACACTCACAAAAAATTTCACCAAAACAGGTCCAGCCAGTTTCGATATTTTGGAAGACGAACGGACAAGCAATTGATTTTTTAATATTGAGTTTACAAGATTCGAAGTAATTAGTAGCATCCACCTACTTTCTCTATTGGAATTTTTATTTTTTTTATAACACATTTTTTAGCTATGGAAAGGGCTATGCTTTCTCTGGGTGAAAGACTTTATAATGAGGATATCCCCGGTAGAACCGACATAGCCCAAATGATCAGTAAGCTGAGATGGCAATGAGCAGGCCATATAGATCGAAAAACCGACAGCCGATTGGGAAGAAATTTTTGCGAATGACAGCCTCATAAGCGAAAGCACAGGACATATAAGACATGCAGGAAGTCGATAGATACAGGTGATTCAGCACCGTGCTTTTTAACATTACTTGAGGGAGGCCTATGTTCAGCAGTGCACTTGCGAAGTGCTGTAATGATGATGACAATGTTTAGGATACTTTTCCTTAAATTTTACCCAACTTAAAATGATAATCACAATTTAACAGATTTGTTTCTGATTGTAACCAAAATCTAAAAGTGTTTAATCCACTTTGGAAATATGAAAGTTTATGATTGCCAATAAATGACGAATTGTGATAGAGAATGACATGCTATTATTAAGAACTTACTGTGATATAAGAAGCAAATCTACTTCATCTGCTTCTATCAAATCTACAAAAGGCAGTGCATCCATTCCTGATAAGCCAGGATGAATACCACAATCCAGCTGAAAGAAAAGAACAATACATAAATACAAATTAATTTTAGCTAATATATCGATGTGTAGAGACGACATGCAGCATAGGAGAAACTACTACCCCATATCATCTGGTGGTTGTTGTAGAGGCGACAAAGAGAATTGGAATTTATTTCAACAGATGGACAGCAGTATGTTCCTAATAACTACTCAAAGTAATATAAAACTGCGGTTGTGTCCGCTAAGGCGGCTTGGCAACCCCTTTTGAGGCAATCTGTGGAGGAGGCCTATGTTCAGCAGTGGGCTTCGATAACCTATAACGATGATGATGATGTTTCTAAAATAAGATAGGGAAGCATTATCACACATGTAACAAGCACATTTAGTGTAGTCTTGGAGTATAAGCCGGAGAGTGACAATCACCCTGCGTCGCCTCTATCGTTTCAAGAATTTCCTTCCAACCGAGACTAGGGCTATGTTGGTGCGAACACTCGTTTTACCAGTCATTGATTATGCTGATGTGTGTTACCCCGATGTGAGTCAAATACTTCTGTGCAAATTGGATCGTTTGTTAAATAATTGCATCCGTTTTATTTGTGGCCTTCGTAAATACGATCATGTATCCTTATATCGTTCCAAGCTTAAATGGCTCCCTATCCATAAGCGTAGATGCATCAGAATTCTTCGCACGCTATTTTCAATCCTATATGATCCATGCACTCCTCAATATCTGAAATGCAAGTTTCAGTATTTGGGTTCTTCCCACGATCGTAACCTGAGATCCTCCGAGGGAACTACTTTATGTGTTTTTCCTCGCCGTACTAAATTTATGTCTCAGTCGTTCGCCGCTGAGGCCATAAGGCTATGGAATAAATTACCTCCTCATATCAGGAAACCGACTTCTGTTGCAGCCTTTAAAAGAATGGTGACTGATCACTACCTTTGTTCTTTCAGCAATTGACCTTCTTAATTAAATGTTTCTGTATAATGAGTATTATAAATTACTTAAGTTGTTTTTGTATAATGTTTGTATATAAGTATGCTTAAAATGTATGTATTATGTATTGTTTAAAATTATGTATGTTTATGTATCATGTATAGAGTATAGTATTTATGTTATTTGTAGTTATATATATTCATTTTTGTATTTACAAGTATAGTATGTATATGTTTATATTTACATTCACGTATATATTCTCAAGTTTTTATGGCACCTGCTTAAGTTTCTCTGTTTAGCTCGTGGTTGACTGGTAGAGAATGCCTAAAGGCATTAAGTCCACCAATTGTACATCTTAAGTGCAATAAAGATTTTTAAATAAATAAAAAAAAATATGACACAAAGGAGAATATCCTGGAGAGCCAGTTAAAATGCTAAAGGCATGTATTAGATAGCCTGAAACAGAACATATTAGTATGATAATGAAGTAATTTTGATAGGAAAAATCTAAACACAGTAGTAATAACAATGGTAAGACGTTAGTATACTAAAGAAAACAAGTGGCGGAATTTTAGCAGAATTACACTGTGCTATTAATTAATATTAGCATAATTATATTAGTGCGTGCATCCAAAAACCATATATCGTAAATGGGAAAATGGTCGGGGAGACAGTTGTCATTTGCAAATGGTTGTCCCTAAAACTAAAGTACTAGATGTTCTACAGCCATACCATAATGGTTGTTCAGGGGGCCAAACTCAGGGGACAAATTTGGGAGTCAAACGAATTCTACTGAAGATCCGAGAACAGCTTTATTGGGTCCACTGTCGTGACAATGTCGAGGACTAGTGTTGGAAATGTACAAGTTGTGTGGCTGTAAAGGGACATCAGACTCGTAATAGAGGTGCAATGAAATTGTACAATGTTGGTGCACCATGGGAGAGGATAGCCCTTAACGTTGCGGGGCTGTTTTCTGTCCTGACTTCTGGTGGATGTTTTCGTTAAATTTTTTTCAAAATCTAAGTACTTTTTCATCTAGGTGTGGGGACTTTCTTTTCTCCTAAACGGCAACACTGTTTTTACTACTAAGGTGTCAATCTGTCAGTCAGTATAGATCAATGGTTCACGACAGTAATGCATTTGAACCCATATCTTTTTGATCCTTAATAATTAAGCAACTATTGCACCTTCTTCTTTTTTAATGAAAGTATTTTTTAATCCATATTGAATATAGCTTCCTATTTTATAGAACATGATTCAATATAGAATAGATGTAATTCATAAAGTTAAAAAAAAGATTGAAGTTACAGCCTATATACGTCCCACTGAGAGGGTTTTAGGGCAAGAAAGTGTCTACAGTACTGCCCCAATCAATGTGTGTTGGCGAACTTCACATGTCTTCGAAATACTTATTTTTCTTATTTTTTCTTTTCACATGCAAGTTTCCTCACAATGTTTTCCTTCAATGTCGAGCATGTGGTAAATCAGCACTTAAATTAACAATTTCATTGGTGCCGGTGGGGATAGAACCTGGGTTTCTCATGTACTGTGTAATTTACAGGAAGCGCTAACCATCTGAGATACCACGGCTATCATCTGATTCTTATTGAAAGTCAGTTTTTACTTTACCACTGGTTCGAAAAAAACCTGTTCTGGGAAAAACCAGCAAGAAACCCAGTGGGTCTTTTTTAAAAGTAAATTTTACACTATGAAATACAATATTATTTGTCACAATAAATAAATATGATAATACCAACCATAATCTTTTTGCCTTTGAATTCTAACATAATGCATGATCTTCCTACTTCTTGGCCAGCACCTCTGAAATAACAAAGTTACATATTGAAATAATATAATGTTTACAAAAATGCATTTTATTACATGCACATTTTACAGCTTCAGTGATGAAATAAACTATAACCAGCTTCATTTACCAAGTGGTAGAGCCAAGCTGCAGCTATATTTATAGTATAGTTGTAGCATGAATAGGTTGGCCCGACCAGGGAAGAACCACACTCTCACAGAACATCAGTATAAAATAGCAGCTTAATGCTGCTGTGTTTTGTATAGTGAGTGTAGAGTACCGGAGACCCTTTTTACTAGAAAAGAGGCATTCCATCTTAGTCCTCAAGGCTGACAACACTTCTGCATTTTGATTTGCAAACGAAGATAGATGTAAATGTGTATGGGCCACTGCTGCACTTACCATCAGGTGGATTGTGTGCTTGTTTGTAACCCTATTTCATAATGGATGGCTGTTTAAGCACATTGAATATAAGAAAACGTGTGTGTACTTATGTACGCTTGTAAGAAGTTATACTTCTTTAGCATAACAAAAAAAAACTAAGTAAAGTAAACTATGTTTTATAGATTCATATACATTTGAATAACTACCTTGAATATAGCTATCAGTTTTCACGAAAAAAGAAAAGTTTACACCAGTACAAAGATTATAGGGGAATAGTACAGTTCACTTATAGGAGGTGGTGCAGTATCATACCGACAAATTTGTTTGAAAGTTATATATTATCATCCTCATTACCTTTCATTTGTTAGCAAGTAACACTTAACTTGCAATAAATATTTTGACTTTGAATTGAGTACAAAAATGATTTCAGAGAATCAGTTGTAGCCATTGTGTAGACCAACTACTCTATAATTACTCAAATTATGGTTTTATCATGTAACTATTTTAATGCAAGAATTGTATAAATGGACGTAGATTAGCAGAAAGGACTCAACCCACAATATTGTCAAAAATGAGTTAGATACACCAAATGAACCTAAAAGGTCGGGTCTATCATTCAGCAAAAACGAGCTAGCCTCAGACAAATAGAAAGCATTTTTTTAAATACTGGGGACCAACCCACATAAGGGTGCGCATTTCTATATGATCAGCTAAATAGACCCAACCCGCTAGAATCCTTTCTAATAAATTATATTTCAAGGGAACGCACTAAACTTTATTTAACTTATTAGCCTCAATTCATGTGAGTTGTTTTAAATAAATACACATACAAAGAAAAGAGTCTGTTTTTTTATTCATCAAAAACGACTTAAGTTTCCTAGGTCGTTTTTGATAAATAAATATTACCGTAAAACGCTCTTTGAACATTCAACTGAAATGACTCAAACTCTCTGAATCATTGTTGATGAACTGAAATTAAAAAAAAAGTGCATTTATAATTTGGCTATAAAATCTCAAACTGTCTAGGGCTTTTAAGATTAATATTTATTTGCAACTTTAAAGTCACTAAAATGACTTAAGGACATTATGTAACAACATTATTTTCATAGATTACCTACTACCATGCATTTTTTTAAACGACAACATTTTTTTACTTATACTATTTTAGTTTAAAAAGTTGCAACCCTTGTTGTATTGTATCTTGTGTAATCGGAGTTTTGGCGGGAAATTGACCGGCGGCGGTTTGCTGCTCCTGTATTATTGTTTAAATAATGGTTTGAAGTGGACTTTGATATGTAAAAGTGTTGCGATTTTGTGTATTAAGTGTCTACGCATGTGAACTATTAGTGGAAACAGTGAAACAAGTGCTCTGATGGTGATGGATTCTCAAGATAAGCTGTTTGTTTGCATAGGCACCTTTAGATACCATCGCCAACTATCAGCTGTCTGCTGGATCAAGTTGCCGCCAAAATCTCCCAAGAACTGCACAATGTTACGCATCAACATATTGTGAAGCAGTATACTATGAAGGAGTGGGGAAATTACAATAAACCGAATAAAAATACTTAAGACTTGGTGACTTGTACTAAGAACCTAAACGTTAAGTTGGAGAGGTCTCGTCTAATGAAGTCAACGCTCCGTCCCCCTCGTGCTCTGTTCCAAAGTCCCGAAACCTTTCAGCTCGAGTTACAAAACCGTTTTCAGTGCCTAGAAGACTGCAATGAAGTGGACGATATGAATGACAAGCTCGTGGAAACTGTCCATGCGGTCGGAGCTAAGTTCTGCAAGACCCGCCGCAGAAGAACACAAAAACTCTCCGATCACACTCTTAATCTCATGGCTGTTAGACGGGAGATGAAGCTACATTCTTCAACAGACTTGACAGCATACAGGCATCTGAACAGACAGATCTCCAAATGCATGCGGCGGGACTTACGCAACTTCAATACAGCTCGTATTGAAGAAGCGATCGAGCGGAACCAAGGCTCCAAAGTCTTTGCCAGAGATCTGTCTGCCAGAAAGAGCCACCTGTCAAAGCTGAAGACAGAGTGTGGCAGCATCGTTTCCGGGACACCTGAGATTTTGAGTGAGATTGAGAGGTTCTATGGGCAGCTGTACACGTCATCGTTGGAGCCACACGCAAGTGTGAGTAACGATCCAAGAGCGAGTCTCATCCGACACTATTCCGAAGATATCCCGGACGTCAGTCTAAGGAGCACAAGAGGTAGGGTCGTGCCTCGTACGGTTCATTAAAAACGATCTCAGCCATGAAGTGGAAGATCTTGTGTTGTGGAGCGATTGCTGTGGGGGGCAGAATCGTAACATAAAAATTATTTTAATGCTGAAAGCAGTATTGGATTCTCATCCGAGACTAAAAACAATAACACTAAAATATTTAGAGTCAGGGCATACATTTCTTCCCAATGACACTGATTTTTCTAAAATAGAATACCAATTAAAATATCACCAAAGAATATACACTTCCGATCAATACATTAACGTGATTAAGAGCTGCAAGAAAAAAAATCCACTGAAGGTTTATAGGATGCAAAGAAATGATTTCTTTTCTACCAGCAAAATGGAGAAGAAAATTGTCAACAGAAAAACTTTCGTTACAAAAGCTAAAGTTAACTGGTTAAGGACAAAAAAAATACTCTTGAAAAGAGATGAAAAGTATACAATCTACATGGAAAATACTGATGGAATGTTTGAAGAGCTAAACATTGAAAAGAAATTAAGAGGAAAACGATTAGAAATATCGGAAGAGGACTTAGTGTTGCTGTGGCCGAATGGGAAAGAAATTGCTCAAGCAAAACTGGACGACTTGAAATCTATCTTTGACTTTATTCCCAAAGATTGTTTAGATTTCTATAAAACTCTAAAGGGGAACGATAATATTACTGAAGATGTCGATGGCTTCGATTGTGTTACTGATTTTGAGCTGCTTATAGAGCAGACAGAGCAGACGGAGCAGGATGACCAGGAAGACTTATTGCAAGATATAGTGTAATAAAAGTAAAGAGTTCATTTTGGATTTTTTAATAGTAAGAGTCACGGTCGATCAACTGATCGACCGTGACTTGTGTGTACTAATACTTGTGTTTAATTTTAAATTATAAATGGTAATTAATAAATAATTTTGCTTTGATTCATTTATTGACTTTCTTTTAAAAAACCTTTAATTTTAATTTTAATTAATCACTTGAGTCATTTTAGTAGAATTCAAATAAAGACTGCATCATGAAAATACAAATTTATCAAAAAGGACTCAAACCTATATTTTTTTCAATAACTCATGAATAACATGCAAAATACCATCAAACTGAAACCCATTTAAAACGCAATTGTTAAATCCCTTAACTAACCTAACACCTTAATATTCTGAGTCCAATATCACTGAAGAATACATCTCCGAACTTTAAACATCGATTACTCAAAAGTGATATTTTGTGGTTTGAGTCCTTTCTGCTAATCTACGTCCAAATGAACTTATTAAACTAACAAATTATTTTATTATGATTATTTATTCATTATTGATAACACCTTTATTTAAGAGGTAAATAGGTGGGCTTTATCTTAATACCTGTCAGTCAACCTTGTGTGGTTTGAAATTGCTTTCATGCTGTGATAAATACTTATTGAATAATTATAACTTTTAACAAGACGTAAAAACCGACTCAAATTGCTATACCATAAATTATTTATTTCTTACTCATAAGGGTGGAATTTTTTCTCCAAATTTATATGGGAGCACCCTCGAAATATAACCTATTTAATAAAAAGGAATCATCAAAATTGGTTCACAACTGCGAAGATATCGGGTAACATATATACAAAAAAACATACACTCGACTTGAGAACCTCTTCCCTTTTGAAGTCGGTTGAAAAGGGATACAACTACCAGTTATTAATGATAAACTAATATTTTATGTTACTAGTAAATAATAAGAAAAACATAATATTTACAAAGGTCGTATTGTTAACTGGTCGCTCTCTTCCATGGGTACGGGATCGGTACCCCTCCTAGGATTTGTCGTCATCTTTGAAGTTATTTATTTCTTTATCATTTATACTTAGAGAACTAGCAAGTAAAAGAAAAGGTTTTTACAACAAGTACGGTACCAAAACAAATATCAATCAGTAAACACATAAACACAAACAATCATCCATTTCCTTCCCGTCCCCGGTAAAGTGAGGTTAGTGAGGTTATTTATTAGTTAGAGTAGTGCAAGGACAGAAACCGAAGTCGAAATCGGAATTCAAATTATCGATAATTTTTATCTTTATATATAAAAATTACGTGTCACGTTGTTTGTCCGCGTTGGACTCCTAAACTACTGAACTGATTTCAATTAAATTTTGCACGCTATGTGCATTTTGGTCCAACTTGAGAGATAGGATAGCTTTTATCCCGATAAATGACCCTCAAATTTTTTTTATTCCGAATTTAAGGATTTTTGTAGGAAGGGTAGTCGGAAAGGGCAGAACAACGTCTGGCTGGCGAGACATTATAATAATTATTTTTTTAAATAAATCAAATTGATTATGCATCTGTTATTCAATTATCCATTTTTGGGTTTTTTCCGTATTACAATTTAAAATCATTCATTAATTTATTTATTCCTCATAGATTGCCTTATATGAGAGATAGAGTTTGCGACGCTTGGAAGGTTGACATCGACAGTTCTTTTTCTATATTTTCTAATTGTTTTTAGAAAGACGTTGCTGTCCATCTCCTGGTTCGTTTTCCTCTGTCACCTCTCACGACAGCCACGGGATGATATGGGGTGGTCGTTTGTTGTTGTTGGTCGTATGTTTATAAACTGCAACTACACGAAAATCCAAAATTATATAAACCAAACAATAAATCAACAAATATGTTATGTAACTATACTAGATAAGATCTGCGTGAAAATTAAAAATATTTTCTTTACTAATTTATTTTCTGAAATAACATAAACTCGTAAGAACTGCCAGGGGAAATACAAAACAGCCTAAAATGAATGCTATACGAGACAAGAATGTCTGCATGCTGAAAGGTGAAGTTTCGAATTTAAAGAGATGGAAGGAATACTTTGAAAGCGTGTTTAAGAGTGAAGAGTTATCTGAATTAAGTGAAATATATTCCGAGAGAGTGTAAATGAAATAATGAAAGTAATTAAAAGCATGAAAGCAGGTAAGGCAGCCAGATATGATAGAGTATCATTCGAAATGCTAAGGGCTGGAGGCTGAGGGTGTGGTTGCAGGCCTGCTGTACACCTTGTTTAATTTAAGTTGCGAACTTAAGCGGGTACCAGAAGACTGGTGCAAAGCCGTTATAGTCGCAATATATAAGAGAAAGGGGTCACAGCAGGACTGTAAAAACTACCGGGGTATCAGCTTGCTTAGCATTGTGGGTAAACTGTATGCTAAGATGTTAATTGATAGCGTTATGGAAGAAACTGATGGAAAAATTTGGGATGTGCAAGCTGGATTTAGAAAGGGGATGGGGTATACGGATCAAGTCTTTTCCATGTGCATGATTGCGGAGAAGTTTTTGACCAAAAACCAGAAAGTTATTTGTGCGTTCGTGGACTTGGAAAGGACTTATGACAGAGTGGACAGGAACATGTTATGGCAAACACTGAACTCATTTGGGTTGAGCGCCGCTTTGATTCATGCATAAAGGTATCTTTATGTGGACTCTAGTGCTTGTTTTAGGATCAACGGGGTCTACTCGGACTGGTTTGGCATTCAAAAAGGTGTCAAACAGGGCTGTGTAGCTTCCCCGTGGCTATTTAACCTATTTATGAACAGTTGTTTGCAAACTTTGAAAATTGAAGAATGTAGGTTTTGAATGGGTGAGTTAACCGTTAAATGCATTTTTTACGCCGATGATCAGGTCATTTTTGCATCGTCGGCGGCCGAGTTGCAAATGATGGTTTCTTTAATGAACTGGTCATTAAAAGAAAGGGGTATGAAAGTTAAGGCAAGTAAGACGAAAGTGATGGTTTTTGAAAGAAAAGAAAGTAAAACGTTATGTGAAATAACAATAGAAGGGGAGTTGATTGAGCAAGTGGATGAGTTTGTATATTTGGAATGTTTGTTTAGCAGGGATGGTAGATATGATAAGGATATAGAACGACGAGTGAACGCAGGAAATAGAGTGAATGGGGCTCCACACGCTATTATGAAGAGTCAGAATGTGTCAATTAAGGCACGTATAGCAATTCAATATGCTGTGTTAGTCCCTGCTTTAATGTATGATAGTAAAAGTGGGGTCTGGCAGAAGAAGCATGAGAGTAGAATAAATGCTGTGGAAATGCGGTTATTAAGAAGTATGCTAGGACTGCGTCTGAAGGACAGGGTGAGAAATAGTGTGATAAGAGAAAAGTGTGGTTTGCAAGATGACGTTGTGACCAGGATTAAGAAAGGAATGCTTCGGTGGCTTGGTTATTTAGAAAGAATGAACGAAGAAAGAGTGACAAAGCAAATTTATGTTGCAGAAGTGAACGGCAGAGTCGGGAAGGGACGCCCTAGATGACGGTTTATCGACCAAATCCGCGATACATTGAAAATGGGCCAGATTAGGAGTACCCTTAACTGACGAGCGCGTATACGTAGGTATATGGATGTAAAGGAGGTGAGAGAGGTGTGTCAGGATCGTGCCAAATGGAAGTCCGTAATCTCTGGCTACCCCTATGGGTGACAGTCGTGAGTGTTTATGTATGTATGTATGTATGCATAACATAAACTCTCACGTCAGTCACACAGAATCCCTCTAAGTCGAGATTACGGACTCCCATATGGTACGATTATGACACACCTATCTCGTTTTTTCACATTCATATATCTACGCATACTTGCTCATCAGATACGTGGTTATGGATTTAAAATTTAATTTTTTTTAAACAACCATATTTTAAATAAACAGCTAAAGACTATTATAAAGCTGGTAGTTGAATGGTATTTTAAAGGCACAGACATTATAATACAAACAGTGGACTTGTGATATAGCAGTAGCTTAATTACAAATGTTTTCATAGATTTTTTTTATAACAAGATACAGATTATTTATTAAATCAAAATATTAAGAATTTGAGTGTGATAAAGTATTATGGTGGTGCGACAATTCATTTTGCAGTACAATTTCCAAATGTTCACTGGAATCAAATCAGGCTGGTTCGAACCTTAAGTCGTGCTTCCTTCATTTGATTCGAGGGTTGTACGATCATGGAGAGTTATTATTATTATACCCTATGGATGGATCTATATAAGACAGCCATTAATGTGTATTTCTGATAATATGTAATACGCTATTTTCCACATCGTTAAACAAACCGATTTTCCTATTTATACCAGTAATAATAATATAATTTCTTTGATCGGTTAATTCTTACAATACAGCCCTATGTGATTATCGGTAATTTTATTGACAGTAGATGACATGATGGTGACAGTGACACTGACATCTTACATGTGTTCTAAAACGATGCGTGTTTACATCTCATTCTCAATTCTTTAGGTTAGTTTTGAGTAAAAAATAATCAATAACACCTGTAGGCTTTTACTAAAATGACGAAAAATAAGTTATTTGACGAAGATTCAGAAGAAGAAGTTGCCATTAAAACAGAAAATGCGTACGCAAAAAAGTATGATGCTTGGCGTGAAAAGGAAGAGAAACATAAATGTAAGATTTAGTAAAGAATTGTATTTTTATAATTTTATGTAAGTGAATGTAAAAAGTTAACAGCGGTCAAAAATATATTTTCCTTTTAACGTTTACAGTAGAACAAAAATATGGGACAAAAGCACTTAACTCTGATGCGTCTGAGTCTACTGATAGTGAAGACGAAAGTGATGAACCTTTGGAAGTGTCGGAAGAAACAGAGGCACAATTCCTCAAGACCCTCTCACTATTAAAAACAAAAGACCCTAGAATTTATGATCCCAGCTATAATTTCTTTGATGAGAAAGTAGAAAAAGAAAAAGGTAATATGTCATTGGATACCATCTTGGTATATTGCTAATAGGTTATATTATGTTACGAAATTAGGACACATAGATTTTATTACAGTTCATTGATGCAGGCACTAATGAATTGATTTACTATGCATAGTACAACCCTAGTATAACAAACCTCAATATAACAATTTCCTCAATTTAACATATTTTAAGAAATTTCCTAGAACTAGCCATAAGAGTTAATAGGTAATATGCTTTTACATTATAAATAACTGGTGTAAAAAAACTGTAACGATTTTTCAATTGTTGCAAAACATAAATAAAAAGTATAATTATACATTAAGTATTCTACCAATCCATCTAATAAGAATTCATGTCTCGGTAGGTTCAGATACATTCAATTTATAGTAAAACAATCCAGGAATTCAAACTGTAATAATAAATAAATGTTTTGTGTTCCAAGGCATTTATTACAATGTATTTTACTTTTTTTTTAAGTTTGCTTACTTTGCTAAAACAAATCTTAGACCAACCTAATCTCTATATAGCAAACCTCATTCTAACAAAATTACTTTGTATAATGAAAATTTTCTAATCCTCTTTAGATTTGTTTTTTTTTTTATAGGATGTAGGTAACAAACAAGCACACAGTCCACTTGCTGGTAATTGGTTTGCCGTGGCCCATAGATATCTACATCTATCCTCGATTATAAATCAAAATGCAGATGTGTTGTCACCCGTGAGGACTAAGAAAGCCTCGTTTCCAGTAAAAAGGGTCTCCGGTTCTTTACACTCATCATACCAATTTTACGCTGGTATTCTGTGAGAGCGTGGTCCTTCTCCAGTCAAGCCGACCCATTTGTGTTACAACTATACCAGTAATATAACTGCAGCATGACGTAAAAAAATTGGTATATCAAGGTTGTACTGTATTATGATATGTAATTAGTCATTATTATAGTAATCCTGATAGTATGGTAGTATACATTGAGTTGAATGTTTAAAAGATTTGTTTATCATCATTATATCCTTTTACAAGTCCACTGCTGAACATAGACACCCAAGAAATGGCACAAAACATGGTCCTGAGTTACCTGCATGTCATTATATTCTACTCTTCACTTACTGGTACAGGGCTGCCACTCGACAACAGTTGTTCCCCGTTGGTTGTCAGTTCTTTAAGCTATATGGCTGGCCCATTACCACTTCAACTTACTGATATGTTTGGTGATATTTCCTACTAAGATTCTACTGTGGATATGTAGAAATCTATGATTCAAATGCTGTATAATGGCGGTGTAAGAATATAAACCACTCCATATTGTCGTAAGGAAACTGAAACAGGAGATGGACAGCAGCATTTTCCTAGTAGCAACTCAAAGGAATAAACAATTGCCAAACTGCCTGTCAAGTTTGACTACTATTACCAAATCACCCTTTGAGGCGATCTATTGGCAAGGCCTAAGTTAAACTTTTTTTCTTCATACATTAAAAATAAAGTAAGTATATAAAGTATGACAAATGACAGATTACCTGTTACTTGACTTTATTCAGACGGCATATAAAGAACATCCATCAAAGGATTTTTAGATTTTAATAGCCTATTGCTCTTTGGTTGTAGGTTTCCAACAGTTCGTGTAAACTTGTGTGATCTTTAAACATTAAATCTGTATTTCAGAGAAGGAAAGCAACAACAAGAAGGTAGTCTTTGCAGACAGTGACTCTGATGATGATGATGATGATGGTGCTAATATATTTAGCATAGAAAAGAAAGCTGAGATAGACAAAGAAAAACAAGATCATCACAACTTGAACAAAGTAAGGATTTAGTATTATATATTGTAGTCAAATTGTAGTTTATTACTTTCGCTCTCACAGAATACCAACATAAAATATCAGCTTAATGCTGCTGTGTTTCGTGTGGTGAGTGTAGAGAACCAGAGACCCTTTTTACTAGAAATGAGGCTTTACATCTTGGTCTTCAGCGGTGACAGTGCATCTGCATTTTGATTCTTAATAGAGGATTAATGTAGATGTCTATGGACCCCAGCATTCACTTACCATCAGGTGGACTGTATGCTCGTTTGTCACCCATATTCTATAAAAAAAAGCCTGGGTAGGATCTACTAATATAATGTTATTTAAATATAAAACAATTGAAGAACTTTATTAATTTTTTTTTAATAATCTGCAAGTGTTTTGGACGAAACATGGCCTAGGTCACTCCTGGCATTGCTCTCTATCTGTTTGTGAAGTTTCATCACAATCAATTCAGTCAGATAGACAATAAAATGAAAAGTAGTTGTTCGTGTCTTAATAGCTTGCAAATAACATCCTGAGTCTAAAAGAAGTCGGTTATTTTGATATTACATACAGATACTTGAATTTAATTTTATGTTTAGATGTATAGCTTATAAGATGTTAAGTTCATATCTAAATCATATCAATAAAATTGAAATGTCTCTCTGTAATATCAAAATAACCACTTTCATTCAGCTGATGTACGTCTGGTACTGTCGCATTCATCCTATTAAAAGTCCACTATTTAACTTAGGCCTCCCTCATAGATTAACTCATAGGGGCCATTTGCCATAGTTGCCACACTTGAAAGGCAGATTGGCAACTGCAGTTTTTTATGTTTTTTAGTTGTTTCTAGAAAGATGTTGCTGTCCTGGTTTTTTTTTTTTAAAAAAACGTTACCCCCACACTAGGATTTTCTCCTGTGTCGTGGAGGCAGTTTACAAACATAAATTGCACAAGGACAAACATCCAGACCCGGAACAATTATTTGTAGGCCATACAAATACTTGTTCCGAGCGGGATTCGAATCCGCGGCCCCCAGCGCAACAACTGATTGCTAAGCCACTGCGCCACGGCGCCGTCTAATTTGTTTCCCTCTGTCGCCGCTTACGACAACCATGGCACGATATAGGGTAGTGGATATTCTTACACCGCCACTACATGGTGAGTGTCTGTCAAATTATCAATCAGACTGCAAAACACAAAAGTTAAAGCAAAAAGTGAGATTGATTTTTAGCCCCAACAACAAGCAAAATTGATATTTAACAGTAGGCTTTTATGGACTCCTTAGGAAGAAGATATTTGTCATTTCTCTCAGGTTCATTGAAACAATATTACTTTTTCTTTTGCAGAATAATTTTTCATCATGTCTTCAAAGTTGTCGAATATAAATTTTAATCAGATCCCAGTACAGCCATAGGTAGTGCGTACCAGTGCGGTAATAGGCCTATTATTTATGTATTTACTTATTTATTTTCAATCAAATCTCTGTACTACACCGTACACCGTACACGCCTTCGCTCGACCAACATGTATAGCCGGAGATTAGAAATCACACACACACACACACACACACACACACACGCACGCACGCACGCACAGGCCTCCCCTCTCTCCCCCATAAATTGCTCCATTTGTCATAGTTACCACTTCCCACACTTGGCCGACGCATTGGCAACTGTCTTTTTTATAATTTTTATTTGTTATCAGGCATATGCTACTGCCTTTAATCCGGTTCTATTCGCTCTGTCGCCACTTATAAGACCCACGAAATTATATGGGGTAGTACAGGGGTTCCCAAAGTGTGCGCCATTGCGTTCTGGTGCGCCGTAGAGAGTAAAGAACGACGCCGTGCCGACGCTCCTATTTACCATACTCGGTAAAACTAAACTTATTTATTCGTGGGTACAATATAAACCTGATTTTAGCTTTAGCTATAATATAGAACAAATGTTGTTCAAAGATCAATATGGAGCAAGAAATTCGAGTAGTGGAGTCAAGCCTTATCCCATGCTTTGAAAAAATTTGTGGAGATCACCAAGCTCACACATCACATTGTTTAAGTTAACATTGTGTATTTCGTTTCCTATTTTCTTTAAAGAAAATGTATTCCTGTGTTGCAATATAAATATAAAAACTCAGTTTCAAATCGTGGATGTTTTAATTTTTGGGCCAACCTACGTACTATCATTGTACCTTATTTCGACAAGCTAGGGGGCCTAGACAAAATACTAAACCTGTAAGTGCGTGGCCAACTGAGAAGTTTGAGAATCCCTGGGGTAGTAGATTGACTTACGCCGCCACTGCACGGCGAGGTCTCTGCACTTATAGTGATATAAGAAACCAATTGGTGTTCAGATTATCTTTATATCTTTAAAAATAAGCCGATTTTACGGCATTTGACGGCACCGTGGCGCAGTGGCTTAGCAATGAGTTGTTGCGCTTGGGGCCGCGGGTTCGAATCCCGCACGGAACATGTATTTGTATGGCTTACAAATAATTGTTCCGGGTCTGGATGTTTGTCTTCGTGCAATTTATGTTTGTAAACTGCCTCCGCGATACAGGAGCAAATCCTAGTGTGGGGGTATCGTTTTTTTTAAAAAAAAAAGATTTTACTTCACCCATTCTCCGCATAAACCATGCAGACCCCTTGTTAAAACTCTTCTGACTTTCCCGTCCATAATTCCGGTTTTTACTCCTACTCCTTTTCTGTCCACGCGGTTAGGTTGTGGAACTCACTATCGCCTAATATAAGAAATTCCGAAACATTATTGGTATTGTTGCGCGCCACTATTAATGTCTTGTACATGGCAACACTAGTTACACTAGCGCCCTCTAGTGTCAAGTAGCAGAACTAGGAGAGTCGAGATCCTTCCAGAAATTTCGGGACCGATATGTACTCGAACATTCTAGATGTCGCTACAGTAGAAGGTTCTGGAAACTATCTGAGGCCCTATATAAGGCCGGTATAGACCACGACCGGGGCAGTATTGAATTGGCGATACAAGAGAATACTTCGAAGCGAAATAACGGCGAACTGTGTTTTATTATTAGTGTGATTTTAGATTGTAATTAGTGTTGTGTAATTAAAGTGTTAATTTTGGTAATTCAATCGGCAGTTTTTAATTGTCTCGAACCCCAAGCTCGTAACAGTATTTTAAAAATGTGTTAGACATAATTTCTTTGCATCCCGTCAAGTAATATATTGTTATGAGCTTGGGGTTCGAGACAATTAAAAAAACTGCCGAGTGAATTACGAAAATTGACACTTTAATTCATCGTCATTACAGCCCCTCACAAGTCCACTGCTGAACATAGGCCTCCCCCAAGGAATGCCACAAAGCACGGTCCTGAGCCACCTACATCCATCGACTTCCTGCATATTTTACCAGGTCGTCACTCCATCTAGTGGGGGACGCCCTACACTTCGTCCGCCGGTACGAGGCCGCCACTCGAGAACCTTTTTTCACTTTTTGACACTTTAATTACACACCACTAATTACATCTTAAAACCACACTAATAATAACTAACCACAATTGTACTACTGATCACTTTAGTTCGCAGTTGTATCGCTTCGTATTCGCTTGTATCTCCAATTCAACACTGATTCCGGGCGCTTCTTTTTTGGCCCTAGAAACAAAGTAAAGGGCTACCCTCGGGGAAGCGGGGGAGGGAGGTGGTGAATGCTCTAAGCATACCACGCAGCCGGCTGTGTGGTTATGTGGGACTCACTATGAAACCTAAGTGCCTCAGATAGTTCCAGAATCTACTACTTGAGAAACATCTAGAATGTTCGAGTACATTTCGGTGCAGATTGACTAGGTGTCGATAGTTCTACAAACCTCTTCCATGGAAATTTCAAGAAAGGATATTGACGCTCCTAGTTCTGCTAATCGATACTGGAAGGACTAGCGCCTTCTAGTATCGAGTCATTAATGGTGGCGCGCAACAATATATTATTTTATTATGTTAATATTAGTTTATATATATTATATGTAGCTATTGTATGTATTATTTTCATTTATAGTATTATTTGATATAATTTACGTAACATTTTGTATATTATTTATAGTAATTGTAGTAGTGTTGTATGCACTAAGTTTATCTTTTTCATATATTTTCCTCTGTGGGTCTACTGGAACATATTTCAGCAAATTATGGAATATAAGTAGAACCTTTGTACAAACTCACTATAAGACTGTTTCTGTATCTTGTTGTGTGTACATAAATAAATTAAAAAATTATAATTTAAAAACCAATTTTCGAATATAATATGAAAAATCATCACTTGAGAACAGCTGGATCGATTTTTATAAAATTTTTTGTCTTTTTGAACGTGTCTCTTGATGGTTTAGACTCAAAATTGGACCGGGTAGGTGTTCTGTTGTCGAGATCCAGAAATCAGCCGTTCGAAGCCGGGGCGAATCGCTAGTATTATATCATTCGTCTGTATGTGTGTTTGTCACTGAACTCCTCGTAAATAGTTGGACCGATTATGATGAATTTTTTTATGTGTATTGAGTGGGTTGTTTAGATTCACATTGTAGGTCGTGCTGTTGTCGAGATTCAGAAATATCCCGTGCAAAGCCGGGGCGGATCGCTAGTATGTTATATTATTTTATAGAATGTTGTATATTCATGAAATAAATCAGTAACTTTCTGTATTCCAGGATGGCAAATTGAAGGACTATTTGATAGGGAAAGTAGAGCATGTAGATGAGGATGTGGAAAAGGACCTTGCTCCATTAAAAGCTCTTTGGTCTGACCCCAAGCTTAATGAGGGAGAGGCCTTCCTCAGGGACTACATATTAAACAAAAGGTATGGTAGATCTATAATTGACTCTCATTACTTCGAACTTTCAAAAATTCTTTGTATATGGTAGAGCTATGCTGCAGATATACTAACATATGGTGGGAGTACAAATGGGACGAATCGACCGGGGAAGGATCACGCTTTTACAGAACACCGGCGTACAATAGCAGCGTCAATGTTGCTGTGTTTCGTATGGTGGGTTTATGGAACCGGAGACCTTTTTTACTGGAAATGAGGTATTCCATTTTAGTCCTCGGGGGGTGACAATGCTTCTGCATTTTGATTCTTAATCGAGGATTGACTTAGATGTCTATAGGCCACAGCATCCACTGACCATCAGGTGGACTGTGTGCTCGATTGTCATCCTTATTCTGTAAAAAAAAAATCAACAAGAGCGATTTCTACCCGAGATTTGCTTCAGTTTGAACAGTCCTTCATGATGAACTGTTATGGTTAGCGGTAGTCACTTACCATCAGGTGAGCCGACTGCTCGTTTGTCCCCTCTCCTATAAGAATAAAAACGGTCTTTAAATATTTGTCGTTTTCAAGGCTAGAAATAGTTATGATACTTGAAGGTACTTAGAAGAAGGCGACGCTGGGGAAGCTGAGGACAGGATACGGGACGACGCTGATTTGGAGGCCGACGAGGAGATTGTGGAAGAACAGGGCAAGTTTGAACGCGCCTATAACTTCCGCTTCGAGGAGCCAGACGAAGAATATGTAAGTCTACTCCTTGCTATAAAAATAGTTTGTGAGAGACAGGGTTGTACAAGAACACAAATTTAAAATTCTATTTATGCTCTTTGAAGTAATATGTACTGCATACTAGAAGAGACGTCGAGATTTGGTTGTTTGGACAACATGCGTTAGAGTCCAAGGGCCCAAACTTAGTCTGTGCCATAAAAATGTACTCTGTGTCTCGTTCCACGCGCCCGCACTGCCTGTTGTGTGTCTGTTCTAGTACGTAGTACATATTGCTTCAATGGTTTGTGCTTAGTTTTTTAAGAGGATAGTGGATGCTGAATTGAAAAGATTTTTTTATTTTCGTGGTTTAATATGACAACATTATTTATATTATATTGGTTTGTTAATAGATTTTGATGTTTTGACTTGAATCGCAATGTTTCACTTCTGCAAATATTTATGGTAAATATTTATTTGTCGAGATTTAAATATGGTGCGTAAGGAGTGTCTACCTGGTAAGACATGCGGGAAGTCGATGGATGCAGGTGGCTCAGGACCGTGCTTTGTGGCATTCCTTGGGGGAGGCCTATGTTCAGCAGTGGACTTGTGAAGGGCTGTAATGATGATGATGATGATGAAATATGGTGCTGTGTGAAACACAGCAGCATTAAGCTGCTAATTTTCGCTGGTATTCTGTGGGAAAGTGGACGACCACCGTGGAAGGATCCCCGGTCGAGCTCTACCATGTACTATGACATGAAATGATTTTTGATGAGTTTCTGATCCTTGACGCCCTCTTTCCCCCAGTTATGATTAGTAAACTATTGCCACTCGCAGCAAACTATTGGTGATTATTGGAGACAGCGCATAGCTGTGTATGGCCTCTCCCATAGTCGACACCCACGGGCGAATTCTTTATTGCAGCCTCTATGCTGCAAAATATAAGATCACGTGGTAGAGCCACGCTGCAGCTATATTATGGTTGTAGCACAAATGAGTCGGCTAGACCGGGATAAGAACACGCTCTCACAGAATACCAGCGTAAAATAGCAACTTAGTGCTGCTGTGTTTCGTATGGTGAGTGTAGAGAACGGAAGACCCGTTTTACTGGAAATGAGGCATTCCATCTTAGTCCTCAGGGGAGACAACATCAGAGACAGGGAGGATAGATGTAGATGTCTAATGGGCCCCAGCATACACTTACCATCAGGTGGACTGTGTGCTTGTTTGTCACATTTATTCTACAAAATAAAATAAAAAATACACAAATGTCTTCTGCAGCTGAAACGCTTCCCGAGAACAATGAACTACATCCGTCCGAAAGACGATCGTCGGTCGAGAAAGCGTGCTGAAATACGCGCCCGGAAAGAAGAGGAGAAGAAAAAGAAGATGGAGGAGATTGCGCGGCTGAAAGCGCTCAAGCTGAAGGAAATACAAGAGAAGATCGCTAAGCTGAAGGAAGTCACCGGCAATCAGGATCTGGCTTTTAAGGTGTGTCTGTCTACACATTATAATCTTGGTTAATCTAGCAGACTGATTTCTCAAACGAAGACTTACGAAAAGACGTGACGACGCCGAATTTACTGATGTTTATTAATTTATTCTGTACTGGATGGGTATTATGAATTAGAAATATCGACAATACAGAAAAACAAAAACACAAACTTTTTTATTCAACATAGATTATGGATAATACTTATTGAAAGTCACTCTTATTGGCTTAACTTAGTGAATGTCCTATAAATTATACTTGTAACCTATATAGATACATTACTTTTAGACATATTAAAGTATATAAAATATGCACAAAAACGTGAACACAAGCACGGCTATAATTACAGTAATTCAAAATAAATATTGTGCATCGGCTTACTTTGTATTTCCTAACATGACCGGCCGCACGCAGACAGTATATAATATAGAGTTTTAACAAATCGGTAAATAAAAATTAATTTGAATCTTACTTTGAAAAACAAAACACGATGGCGGTTATACAGCTCCGTATACGGCACACGTCCTTTCTTCTTTAGGTCCTAAAAGTAACTTTGCAATTAATTACTGTTCTTAAGCCGGCAATACATGTAGACCGAGCCTCAGCCAACGCGAAAGTAGGCAAATTGATACAAGGCGAGTGCTACAGTCTACATGTTGGCCAAGTTTGAATGAGCGAACATACTTACATGGTTAACTAAAGGTGGCTACTGACATGCCTGCCGCAGGGGCAATCTAGGATTTAGGAGTGGGGATGACCGTTAATTGCCTTCTTAATTGTGATGTGTGTAGGCAAGCAGGGGCAATTTTTTAAGTCGGCCCTGCGGCAGGGCGGCACGAGCGCATACCTTCCTTGCTCCCTAGATCGGCCCTGCCGCTGTCGCGTGTGTAGCGCAATTGGGGCAATTTTAATCAGTTCGTTGCGACTTTCGCGCGGAGCACACGTGTGCGTACAAGTCACAATGAATACAATAAAGAATGTGAAATTTTGACACGGTGATAGAAGTGTATAAAGAGCCGCTTCTTCACCCAGTATCTACTTTTTGTCGTTTTTTGCGGTAGCACCGCAGAAAGAACGTTATTTGAATGTTGTAAATTACAAGTAACATTACTGGGATTTGTTACCTAACTTATCATAACGGCCAGTATGGGAAAGAAAATATTGCAATAGTATTAAAATTGCTGGAATATAAATAAAATGTCATTAACTACATAATTAAACAAAAATACAAATTTTAGTAATTAAATTTATTAAAACTCATCATTAGAAAACTATCCTGGCTATTCGTAAAACTAGTTAAATTATAGTTATTAAGCACTAGTTAGTTAAATTTTAAGTAATAAAAAGTTATATCACAGAATAAATTGGTTATATTAAATTTTGACGAGTGAAGTTAGTCATATTTAATTGTCTTTGATAGTCTAAAAATAGCGTGGCAGAGCTATGCTGCAGCTTATAAACACTATATTATGGTTGTAATTATTAATTAATTAGTTGTTTTATTGATAAATGTGGGTGTCTATGGGTCACAGTGTCCACTTACCATCAGGTGGACTGTGCTCATTTGTCACCCTTATTCTATATAAAAAGAGCCAATGCTATATATACCGATTTATTGATATTTCGATAAAACTGGCGCCATTCTCAATGCGTGCATCCAGTGAGACGTACATTCTCATACTGAACGGCAGGCATGTGTGTAGAGACAGTTCAGATATTACCCCGATCGCTGTACTGCCTAGATTGCCCCTGAGGCAGGCATGTCAGTAGCCGCCTTAACATGTGGACGTGACTTGCCGAGTGCAGGAGAGTGCCTTTGATTTGTTGCTGAAAACCCGACACTGTTCCGAAGTGAGGCGAGTCGTGGCGAGCGATATCGAGCAATGGCGAGGCTAGACAAATGGGCTGTCTATACGTTGGTACACCGTACACGCCTTCGCTCGACCAACATGTATAGCCGGCTTTAGAAATGACACACACACACACACACACACACACACACACACACACACACACACACACGCACGCACGCACACACACACACACACACACACACACACACACACACACACACATACACACACACACACACACACACACACACACACACACACACACATTCACGCCTGTCACCCAGAGGGGTAGGCAGAGACTACGGACTTCCATTTGGCGCAATCCTGACACACCTCTCTCCCCTCCTTTACATCCATATATCTACGCATACACGCTCGACGGTTAAGGGTACTCCTAATCTGGCCCATTTTCAATGTATCGCCGATTTGGACGATAAACCTTCGTCTAGGGCGTCCCTTCCCGACCCTGCCGTTCACTTCTGCAACATGATACTGACGTTAATTAGTTTATTCGCTTGTGATAAATTAGTAGAAATAACGAGTGTTTTTAGGATCAAATTACTTTCTTCAACTGTTTTGTACAATACGATTGTTACCAATGTTTGCCGATGCACAATATTTATTCCGAAATACTGTACATCCACGATCGCAATGCAAAATTAATATTCAATTTTAGTATAGAAATCGCCCAGAATTTCACACGACTTTAAAAGTTGGAGGGTTTTGTCACGCTGCTATGTCTTTCGAACGAAACTGTAGTTTTCAAAAGCTATTTCATTATCAGGATGAAGATATCGAAGGTGACTTCGACCCTGAGGAACACGACAAGAGAATGAAGGCGATCTTCGACGAACAGTACTATGGGGATGCGGACGATGAGAAGCCGGTGTTCCCTGATCTTGACGAGGAATTGGAGATTGGTGTGTTTTTTTTATAGATTTAGTTTGACAAACAACATTCCACCCGATAGTAAGTGGATGCCGTGGCCCATAGACATGTGCATTTATCATCGATTCAATATTGAAATGCAGATGCGTTGTCTCCCTTGAGGACTAAAATGGAATGCCTCGTATTCAGTAAAAAGGGTATCAATCAACACAGCATTAAGCTGCTATTTTATTACGCTGGTATTCTGTAAGAATGTGTTTGTTCCGTGGCCGAACCAACTCATTTGTGGTAAAACCATAATATATCTGCAGCATGGCTTTACCGCATATGATTTTAGAATGAGATTGTGATAGTGCTTATTCATGTCATTATTCTTACCTGCTTATGACAGTCGACAGCTGGATATGGGTTTCTCTTTATTTTAAGGAGGATTGTGCCGTAGGTGGTGAAACGTGACCGACGGATTAGTAATTGCACTACCAAATACAATAGGATAGAATAAATTTAGTTATAGATATAGAATCAATTCAATCTTGATAACAATTATATATTTAGAGTTACACTGTTACGATTACGTACGTTACGTAGGTACCCAAATAAAAGATGGTATATCATCCTCTTTTGCCTAACAAAAATATTCACTAGACGAGATGTTGTGATAAAATCTATTATTGCACTGTGTTTTACAGAAAATTGGGATAATTATGAAAATGAGTACAACGAAGTACAGCAGGGTGATGATGAAGGGCCGCACTGCGAGGATGATGATTTTAATGTAAGTAAAAATATTATTATATCTACAAAATAAGAGAATCAAATATATATATATATATATATATATATATATATATATATATATATATATATATTTAGCGCGTGGGAGATAAGGGCATTTTTTTTGTCGTCAAGCGGCTGCCGTGCATTGCATTGCGGTGTGTCGACTCGCGCGAGCGTTTCCTCTGATAATTGCGATTTCGTTAGCGAATTTGTGCAACTACGAGGAATTGTAGTCTAGAATATTAGACGCCGGGTTGACGAATTGTTGGGAAGTTAATGTAATCGTACCGTTGCGTTAAGTGCCTTAAAGGGTCGCGTTTGGTTTTCTAAGTAATTTGCGCGCGGAGTGAACGGAGGTGAACTTTGTCCTACCGTTGTCGGTTGCGCTGCGTGTTGCCCCTTTTGATTGTGATTAACGGGATTTAGTTTCGCTTTGAAGTTAGTAAATTGTACAATAGATTTGATAGACTGACATAGTGAATTGAAGAAATTCTCCATTGCTGCCGTCGCTGGAGATTACTATAATTTGGAGCGGTGCCGGAGTCCGGGCAGCTGCCGACTTCAACGGTCCAGTCAGGTCAATCACAACCCACACCACAAAAAACACCACCTCACATGCACATACACACCTCCGTCCTGACCGAACCTTGAGACAGTCATTGTCTCAGATACCGGTTATTTGACCAGCCTCCCCATTAAATTGTAGTAGGATAGAACATTTTCCATAAGGCCATTCGGGCTCGAACCCGTGGCTGCCCGTTGAATCTTCCGCTCATGGGCCCCGGGATATTGAATCTTTGTAGGGGCAGCTGCGGGCCGTAACATATATTGGCGGTAACAGAGGGAAACTGTAACAGGAGATGGGCAGCAGCATCGTCCTGATAACAACTCAAAATTATAAAAAAATGCGGTTACTAACCTGCCTACCAAGCGTGGCAACTAAGACACAATCCATCTATATATGAAGCGATCTACGGGAGAGGCCTATGTTCAGCAGTAGACTTTTGATAGACTGTTATGGAATAGATAGATATTTTTATAAAAAAAAAATCGGTTGTCTGTAAAGTCGGTACGTATACACTGACGATAGTTGGACGTGACAACGTCATAAGAAAATGTTGCTATAAACAATTGACACCACATTCACTTTTCACTGCACTTCATACTTGACGAAAACATGTAAATGTATTATTGTATAGCAGTTGTCCATGCGGACGCATCGCTCACTCAACTAGGAGAGAGACAGATGTCGAACGCTGCCGAACGCGGAGGCCGATTGTGCCTCTTTGTCGCTCGTTCCGCGCTCTCGCTTGCATTTCAAGCCTTAAATGGAAAGCCTCAGAGCGAGGTAACGCCGCATGAGTCATGTTTTTTCGTGCGTGCAGCCAGCTTCATCGAATTATAAGACGTTGTCACGTCAAAAAAAAAATATCTGGTAACACTATTAATATTACTTATAATCCTGATAGCCACTCTTTAAGTAAACTTTAAAATGTGATAAGAGTGGTTCACCACAGTAGACGAATGGCGTATTCGAACCCACTATAAGTTTCCAGTCCGAACAATACCATAAGGCCACTGTCGCTTTAAATATTATCCCGTGGGTGTCGTAAGAGGTGATCACAGGGAAACTGAAACAGGAAAAAATTTGGCGCTTAGACTTATTATTTCATATTTAAGTAACAGAACTCAAAAAGTCGTCATCAATGGTAAATGTTCCTCCGGATCGGTAGTATCAATGGGCGTTCCTCAGGGCTCGATTCTTGGCCCATTCCTGTTCTTAATCTATATTAATGACTTACCTTATCTTGTAGGGGACAATCACGATATAGTATTATTTGCTGACGATACCTCTTTAATTTTCAAACTGAAACGGCAGTCAATTAAATATGACGATGTAAATAATGCTCTATCGAAACTAGTACATTGGTTTAACGCCAACAATTTGCTCTTAAACGGCAATAAGACTAAATGTATTAAATTTACAATACCTAATGTAAAACATTCGAAAACCAATGTGCTCTTAAATGGGGAGGAGTTGAGTCTTATGGATACCACTGTTTTTCTCGGTATTACTATTGACGCGAAACTTCAATGGGGCCCCCATATATCTAAATTAGCAAGCAGACTTAGTTCTGCAGCATATGCTGTAAGAAAGATTAGATGTCTCACAGATGTTGAGACAGCTAGGTTAGTGTATTTTAGTTACTTTCATAGCGTAATGTCTTATGGAATTTTGCTATGGGGTAATGCGACTGATATTGAAGCTATATTTGTTTTGCAAAAGAGAGCCGTACGGGCGATTTATAATCTAAATTGTAAAGAGTCCCTCAGAGAAAAATTTAAAGAAATAAACATATTAACTTTGGCATCGCAATTTATTTATGAAAATGTAATGTATGTACATAAAAACATAAATAGCTTTAATAAGAATAAGGATGTTCATACCTTAAACAATAGGAACAAACATAAGCTTGTAATGCCACTTACTAGACTCCACAGAATTAGTAATTCATTTACGGGGCAATGTATACGCTTTTACAACCAAATCCCAGAACATGTTCAAAGTTTGTCAATAAACAAGTTTAAAAGTTTTATTAAAGAAAAACTGTACAAAAAGGGTTATTATAATATCAAGGAATACATGAATGAAAATAACCCCTGGGAATAAGGTGATCGCCACCATGCTGATTCTATGAAAATTCATTTAAAATTGTGTAAACAAAATTATTGTTAAGTGAAATTATGTTTAAAAAAAAGTCCCGCTGGGTTTCCTGCTGGTTCTTCCCAGGACAGAGGTATTTTCCGAACCAGTGGTAAATAAAATAATGACTTTCAATAAGTATTATGTAATAATCCATATTGAATAAAAATCATTCTATTCTATTCTATTCTATAGGAGATGGGCAGCATTTTTCTGATAACAATTCAAAATAATAATAAAAAACTACAGTTTTCAAGTGGGGCATCCATGACAAATCCCCCAATGAGGCAATCTATGAGGAGGCCAATGTTCACTAGTGGACTTTGACGTCTTTATCTTTTCTTTTTTAATTTTTGATTTTTCATATGATGTTTAATTTTGTTGCCTTTTGCCCCATCTCGAATTTCCAGTCTTTAATACCTAATATAGAGAATGGACGAGAAATAACAAGAAAAACAAGTGTACAGCTTAAACGCGATAGAAGTTGAACCTGTCATATGAAATGAAATATAAAATATAAGATATAAGTTTGATTATATAGCAAATAAATGTTACAATCTTTATTTTTAGACTAAATTTTAGTGTAATAAATCAAAAGATTTTTTTTTGAGTAGAATTGCTTTGTAATAGCGCCATCTACTTTATTCTATAGGTAAAGTCATTTTATCGAACAGAAATTGATTGACTCTCAAGGTGGTACGTAAAATAGACGTTAGTTGGCCTTAAGTTATTAAATTGTGGATTGTTGTAAATGGTTTAATTACCATTATAAAAATTATTAATAAATAAAAAAAATTAATTTGATTTTATTTATTTAATAAATTTGCTCATTTTTGTGTTGTTCATTTTAACAGAAATTTATGTAACATATCGAGTTTTTAAAAAAGAGAAAAAGACAACCTTTTGAGTTCGCGGTCTACACTATACCCTTTTCTATCTCACTCTCTTACAGGCTAAATACTATCTCTTTTCAGTGCCGCTTTTTCGTTTCATCGAGTTCCAAGTCACAATGATTCCAAAGAAGTTTTCACTTCGATAAATTATTACTTGACGCAAAAGTATAATAGTATAAGCCATTACCAAAGAAGAAATACGTAATATTCCTATGGAAAAACTAAAACTTTTTTTTTATATGCATATTCGGCATAACCTCTTTTTTATGAATCGATTATTCGTCTTTTATTAATATAAATGGGCTATAACCCATTATAAATTTTAAGAAAAAAATTCAATTTGAAAATATAGGAGAGGAAGTTATTAATGTTGTTACACTAAAAACTTTAAACAACATTCTAGTTGTGGAACATATTTTACATTTGAACTTGTGTTATTCCTTAGTCTACTCAAAAGGGTAAAAAAATAAACTTTTTATTAAAAAAAAAAAAGTAAAAACATCCATCAAAAAGTATAAAGAATAAAATAATTTCTACATAATAACTTCTGAAGTTGGAACTTTAATTCTTCAGATGGACGCTGACTACGACCCCAAGAAAGCGCGAGAGAATCTTCTGGAAGAATTGAAACGCAACATGGGAAAGAAACGAAGGAACAGAAAACGCAAGTCCAAGCTGGCAGAGCTCCTGGCACAAGAGAAACCGAAATTTGTCCCGGAGGAAGAGAAGAGCTACGCCCAGTTTATGGAGGAGTACTACAAGATGGACTGCGAGGATATCATAGGTGGAGATCTGCCCACCAGATTCAAGTATCGAGAGGTTGTGCCCAATGACTATGGCCTGTCCATAGAGGAGGTGATGCCTTTTTTAAATGAGTAATATTAGGCTAAGTTCATATGACTATGATAATTCCCATTTACTTTGATCTTGTACCGCGCGGCCAAATGAGCCTTACTTGTGTGGTAGAAATTATTATATATAAAATTTATACGTGGTAGAGTCATGCTGCAGCTATATAATGATTAAAGTACAAATGAGTCGACACGACCGAAAGGACCGCGCTCTCACAGAGTACCAGCGTGAAATAGCAGCCGGAGACCCTTTTTACTGCAAACGAGGCATTCTATCTCAGTTCTCAGGGGTGACAACACATCTGCATAATGATTTCTTATATTTATGCGAACACTACACATTTAAATAGAACTAGTTTTACGGATTTTATCGCGTATATTAACATATTTTATATTACCGACATTTCGGGTGCTTTACAGCACCCATAGTCACGGGGGACAGAGGTGATTGACGTCCCGATGTCAGAGTTAACCTGGAGTACCTTCAGCTTTTTTAATTATTAGTTTTGGTCCGATCAACGCAGAATGAACTTACTGTGTGTTGAAGTCTTACAGTGGTATGCTTGGGTTTAGTTTTAATTTTTATTAATTATGGGATCCCAAGCAGGTGGTAGAGAATCCGTAAGTCAATTTTTATCCTTAGACGTCTTTTTTTATAATGGACACCTGCAAGCAACTTCAAAGAAAGCTACACATGCGTTGCTATCTCTGAGGGATAAGAGGGAACACCTCACAGTCTGTAACTATACTGGCACTATAGCCTTCAGAGCAAAACAGCAGAGCAAGTACTGCTCAATGAGAACAGTCGCTTGATGGTCAGTGGATGCTGTAACCCATAGCCATAGACACCTACATCTATCATTGATTAAGGAGTAAAATGCAGATGCGTTGTCACCTCTGAGGACTAAGAGGGAATATCTAGATTTCTGTAAAAAGGGTCTCCGGTTCTCTACACTCATGACAGTGGCTCTATACCACATGTAAATTATGTTATTTGTACAAATTAAATAAACGAAAATTAAAAAGTTATGTAATATTCTAGATTCTTCTAGCGGACGATAAAGAGCTGACGCAATGGGTGCCTCTGAAGAAAATCGTGAGACACCGCCCTCCCACGGTGGAGAAGGGAGAGGTGAAGACTTACGCGATGAAAGCAGCCGACATACAACTCAAGAGAAAAATATTGCCAAGCCTGTTCAAAGAATTGCCGCAGTGAGTGTTCATCATCAACATCATCACCATCATCATCATTGCAACCTATCAAAGTCCACTGCTGAACATACGCTTATCCCTTAGATTGCCTAATAAGGGTTGCTGGCTGCTTATTATCTTCTGTTTCATTTTCTTTGTCGCCTCTTACGACACTGATATGGAGATATGGAGTAGTGAGTTTTACACAAATATAACTGTTTTGAGCAATCTGCTTGACAAATTTCTTAAAGACCCTTTTTACTGGAAACAAGGCATTCGATCTTAGTCCTTAGGGGTGACACATCTGCATTTTGATTCTTAATTGAGAATAGATCTAGATGTCTATGGGCCACAACATCCACTTACCATCATTGGTTTGTCACTTATTTTATAAAAAAAAAATTCGCGTACATTTTCTATGATATAATATGTTCCCCTCTAAATCTAGACTACCATTCCTTTATTTTTACTTCTCCGTTACAGTCTATTAAGTCTTATTATATACTTTCAAACACCCAAGTCAAGGCGAGTCTGTGCCGAGGACTGATTGGCATCAGGGTGTAACATGATGTCAATCTGTCTGAAATTTAGTATACTGGGGTTTTTGGAGTCCTCGATTATGATATTGAGGTCGAATTGCTCCAGTCTGTAGCATCGTTTGGTAAACTTTGGCTGCCCAACGGTCTGGTGAATTGTGCCATTGGACATATTGCAGAAATCATATGGCCCTGCTTCCGGAGAGCACAAACATATGATTTTGACATACCATCCGTCCGTATAGACTTCGGTAAAGACGGTGTCCATCTCATTCAACTCAAGACTGTAATTTTCAGCAAAATATAGTCACGGCACTGCAGAAAACGAAGAATGCTGCGAATTATATTATGTTGGGCTTGCACAGCACACAAAATGCAGGGTAGTACTGTCGACTATGCCGTTGTATACTTATGCTAAAAGATCTTCGCTGCTGGTAAACATACGTAGAAGGTCTCCTTATTGAAGAGCTAGACTGTTACAACAATGATGCGTTGAATAAGATGAACAGACTGAGAAACACAGGTTTCTCAGGTTGCATGCTGACATAGAAAATAACGAATTCATTGACTCCCGTTATGTTGTGTATCGCTGCGATCGCAACCGAACAGCGACTGGCCGCAGAGATGGCGGAGGTGTGTTGGTGGCTGTGTTGCGCTCACTTTGTTCCACGCCTTGCTCGCTGCCCCCCTCTGCTACTCCCCGCAATCTCCCACACGTAATTGAACAAATACTGGTACAATTGTCTGTAGGTAATATACACTACATTATTGGAGCTGTATATATTCCCCCGAGAGTTGACAGTGATGTATATCTTACCTATTTCGATGCTATGAGGGATTACATACAGGTTATGGGCGTCGATTTCTTTTACATATACGGAGATTTTAACCTACCATATCTTGAATGGCAAATCAACGGCAATCAATCAAACCCCCTAAAAGCGAGTGATGTAGAACCACCAAGCTCATACTTGTTAAATTTTATGTCCTTGTTAAATTGTAAACAAATCAATATTTTCAAAAATAATAAGGACCGCTTGCTAGACTTTACACTAATTATAAATAAAACTTTATTACTAATACACATAATAGCAAATCCTTTTCAACGCCGGTAACTTTAGTACCAATAGATATACAGCACCCTCCGTTTTATGTTCTTATGTCACTTGATACTATAGTAAGCAAACAATTAAAATGTAAATCACACACTATACATTGCTTTAAAAATGCTGATTATGAGAAAATAAATCAAGATCTTCTAGAAATTGATTGGGAAGACCTATTTCAGAACAAACAAGCAAACTACTGTGTAGATTTATTTTATGAAAAAATTTACAACATTGTCCGTAAACACATTCCTTCCAAAACTATTTCTAATTCACATTTTCCGGTTTGGTTTAGGTCATCTCTTAAACATATTTTTAAAAACAAAAATTCTGCTTGGGTAAAATGGAAAAAGTATAAAAATCAAGCCGATTACTCAGTATTTTCAATGTACCGTCAAAGATTTAAGAAAGAGGCAAATAAATGTTATAGTAATTATATAAACAAAGTTGAAGATAGCATTAAATATAACATAAAATATTTCTGGACTTATATAAATAACCGCAAAAAACAATGTAATATACCTAGTAGCGTAAAATTTGAAAATTCAAAAGCCGACAACCCTGATGATATTTGCAACTTGTTTTCGAGATTCTTCCACTCAATTTTTCAGTCTTCAGACTTGCCGGACTCCTATGATATTACCGATATAAGTGATTTAGACATAAAAACTCACACTGATAATATTATTACCAGTATATTAATAAAAGATGACTATATAATAAGAGAACTCCAATCATTGGACGTTACAAAAGGACCCGGTACAGATAATATTCCGCCGATTTTTCTTAGAAGAACGGCTACAATTACCAATTCGGATCTTGTTTAATAAATGCTTGGAAGATGGTGTTTGTCCAAATATATGGAAAATGGCTAGGATTGTTCCAGTACACAAGGGGGGCTCGAAAGAGGACGTGACCAACTACCGTCCTATTTCAATCTTGCCTACTATAGCAAAGCTTCTTGAAAGACTCATACACAGCAACCTTTACTTTTATATCCACAAAAATATTCTCCCACAACAACATGGATTTGTTTTAAAGCGTTCAACTACCACTAACCTCATGGTTTATACAACTGCATTATTTGAAAACATGGATTCTAATAAACAAACAGACGCTGTGTATACGGATTTTAAGAAAGCCTTTGATCGTGTCGACCATAAAATCTTGCTGGAAAAAATTGCCTTCAATGGTATTCGAGGCAACCTTTGGAGATGGTTCAAGTCTTATATAACGAATAGGACCCAAAAAGTGGTAATTAATGGTCATGAATCTGATATCGTCCAGTAACATCAGGTATTCCGCAAGGCTCAATTATTGGACCATTGTTGTTTGTAATCTATATAAATGATATAAGCGAATGTTTCAAAAATTGCAATTTCCTTCTATATGCGGATGACCTCAAAATTTACCATACGATTGAAAATATTGGTGACCATTTAAACTTCCAAGAAGATCTGAACCGATTGACAGCTTACTGTGACCGTAATAAATTGAAACTTAGCATAGATAAATGTAAGTGTATAAGTTTTAGCAAGAAAAAAAGTATAAGTTATTTCGATTATTCTCTGTGCGGCGCAAATCTCGATAGGGTGCATAAAATTAGAGATCTGGGAGTTACATTAGACACTAAGCTAACACTAGAAACTCATATTGATAATATTTGTAATAGAGCATATAAGATGTATGGGTTTGTTATCCGCTCTAGTAACGATTTTAAAAGGCCAAGTACATATATGTATTTATATAAATCTTTAATACGCTCACAAATTGAATATGCCGTCTCAGTGTGGGATCCCTTTTACAAAAAATACTCAGACCGCCTTGAAAGAGTGCAAAAGAACTTCCTACGATGCATGCATTTTAAATGTTTTCATAGTAAATTGTCTTACTCAAAATTGTTACAACTATATAAAATATTTAATCTAAAAACTAGAAGGTTACAATTACAAGTTAAACTATTGTACGACTTTTGTAATAATAAGTACGATTGTATTGATATAGTGGATAAGTTATGTTTTAAAGTACCAGTCAGATCACACACTCGAGCATGCCGTACATATAAACTATTTGCTACACATAAGTCTCGAACGAAGGCTGGGAAACGTTCACCATTGACTCGAATGACTGAAGCTTATAACAGATACTTCACTACCCTAGATATATTTGCAACGAATGTTACTTCATTTAAAAAATCAGTTTTCTTTAATCTGTTGCCTGAATTCAACACCACGCAAGTTGATTGAATTAAATGCATGGTCAACTTACTTAAGCGAAATACTAACTTTTAGCACGCAAAATTTTTTATTTATTAATTTGTGGTTAACGGTCTTGGTGTCACAATTATTTCATTATGTGTATGTATGTTATTTGTAAAAATATTATTGTGAAACTGTTTGTTGACCCAAATAAATGAAAAATATATATATATATATATATATATATATACCTCTCCACATATCTATTATTATCTAAACAACTCTGCCTTAAATGGAAAAACCACATAGAATATATTATCTTACAAATGAGAATGGGCTTGTGCCTAGTGGCAGGACGATGGAGACGAAAGAGGGTCATCCTCAGATGCTCTAATGATGATGACGTAAATATGTGTGGGTTACAACATAAAGTACAAGAAAATATAATAAACAGATTGTTAGCTATTCGTTACCCTTCCCCGATGAGGTCTTTTAAAAAAAATCTTATAAACAACGAAGTTTGCCACGTTACCAAAGAAACGACGCTTTGCTAGAGTAAAACCTTTACTCTCGATCTAGCCGGTATATATAAGACAATTAAAATGTTATAATTATTAAAATAATTACCTATTTATAATAACTTATATTATTATATATTTTCATTGCAGGGAACCTGAGCTAGTAGTTCCAGTTGAAGAGATAAGCAAAAAGAAAAAAAAGAAAAAGAAGAAAGTAAAAACAAATGATGATGTAGAAGAAAATATAGAACATAATGAGGAAGTTCTAGAAAACGGAATTAAAACTGATGACGTGGAGGAGCAGAAGGATAAAACAAATCCAGATGTTAAAAATAAAAAGGAAAAACGCAAAGAAAGTAATAAAAAAGCCGAAAAGTTAAATAACGAGTCTGCTGAAGAGGTGCAAAGTGAAACTGTTAAAAGAAAAAATAAGAAAAAGAAAAGTAAAAACGATTTTATCGTTGAGGATGTTTTAACTAATGAAGAACCAAGCACAGTTAGTGATGTAACTGGCAATTTCACTGAATCTAAATCAAACAAAGAAAAGAATAAATTGAAAAACAATACAGAAGGCGACAAAGAGCAAAGCGGTACATTAAAAAGAAAATTGGACTTAAATACACAAGATAACCAAGAAATTCCAAGAAAAAAGAAGAAAAAGCACAAACTCAATCAAACGGACTCGCAAATTCCATCGAATAAAAAGCAAAATAACAAGAATAAAAACAAAAACAAGTACAAGCCTAAACAGGATAATGGAAAGTCAGACAATCCTTTGAACAAATTATCCGATGAGAGACTGAAGGCATATGGATTGAATCCGAAGAAATACAGGGGCTTCTTGAAATACAAGAAGTTTTAATTTATATAAATAATGTAAATAAAAATGTTATTCCATATTTTGTTTATTTTGTAACAAACAAATACTTTTAATCTTCTTCTTAACCACTCAAACCCCAACACTTTATTGGTTCAACTTAGTCAGAGCTATGGTAATAATTTTTTTTTTTACATTTTATTACGTGGTAGAGCCATGCTGCAGCTATATTAGTAGTATAGTTGTAGCACGAATGGGTGGGCTCGACCGGGGAAGGACCACGCTCTCACAGAATAAAAGCGTAAAATAGCAGCTTAACGTTGATGTGTTTCGTATGGTGTGTGTAAAGAACCGGAGACCCTTTTTACTGGAAATGAAACATTCCATCTTAATTCCCACGGGTCACAATGCGTTTGCATTATGATTTGTAATAGAGGAAAGATGTAGATGTCTATGGGCCGCAGCAACCACTTACCATCAGGTGGACTGTGTGCTCCCTTGTCACCCTTATCTTATAAAAAAGTCATTTTGCCAATTAATTTTACTATGTTTTATCTTAAAATAAAAAAATGGAGGTCAAGTGAGCCCTAGAGAAAGGACGATTGCAAGACGTTGGCGATAAATAAAATGTTTTCAGAAATTATCAATTACCTTGATATCATCTTGTGGATTCCGTAAGATACTTGAGGAAAAGGGTTATTTTTAAATAACCTTGAACATCATTCCGGTTACGAAAAAGTCACAGTGCAAAATTATCGTGACTTTGTCACGTTAGATAACTACTAGTAACATTAGAACGAATTATAGTGACTATTGTCTGTAACTGTATGTATTTTAGATTTAGTTAACAATTATAGTTACGTCCTTTTATACGTCCCAGTATGGGTACAAGCCTCCTTTCATTTCTGAGAGGGTTTTAGGGCAAGGAAATGTTTGCCGCGCTGCCCCAATGCGTGTTGGCGAACTTCACGTGTCTTCGAAATATTTTTTTTTCTTATTTCACTGACATGCAGGCTTCCTCAAGATATTTTCCTTCACTAAGTTTTTATGAATCTTAGAAGAAGCTTGGAACTCAAACCAAGCTTGAGTGTTTTTGACCATATGGACCGGTGCAGAATCTTGTGAAATATCCAAGACCGCCCATGGAAGAGCGTCTGAAACAGATCTTTTATGATGCCATCCAAAACAGTCTCTTGATATACTTTGGCACTACTTTTGATACAGAAATATACTTCTGTGGGGTCATAGTACGACATCCTTAACCAAATCATCACTAATGATGGATGATGGCTGTGTTGCACCTGGGAAACGGCTTTACCAACTTCCTCCGAAGTTTTGGCGTATACCCTGTCATTTGTTTGTTGGTCGTTTCTTCTATAATAAATTATGACGAGTGAAGTTAGTCATATTTAACCGTCTTTGATAGCCTAAAAATAGCGTGGCAGAGCTATGCTGCAGCTTATAAGCACTATTTTATAGTTGTAATTATTAATTAATTAGTTGTTTTATTGATAAATGTGGGTGTCTATGGGCCACAGTGTCCACTTACCATCAGGTAGACTGTGCTCATTTGTCACCCTTATTCTATACTAGTTCAAGCATTTTATAACGGCTAGGGTTTAAGCGTCGTTCGCGCGCCTAGCCAAGTATTGAATTATTTTAATTTTACATTATCTCTTAAACTATGCGTCCAAATAACATGGTATAAAGAACAAAGTTTATCTTCATAAAATTGTCTTGATGATGAAGTAACTTTCGATCGTAAGGATAAATAGGCAAATGCCTAATAATAACGCTCATAAATCACTTTTAAATTTTCAATATTTTTTTGTCACATAATACCAAATTATGGCTTATGTATAAGAAATAGACATATGGTATCTCAGACTTTTTTTTAGAGGGAGTAAAGGTCTATATTTTTCTAGAACATTGTATTTACGTATCCCTAACGATAACACAAGCGTACGCGGATAAATCATTTCGGGACTGCTTTTTCTTCTGACTTGCTTAACAAATATCCCAATTTAAAGCTAGCTGAGTAATATAGCTTAATGCTAGATAGCTTATACTATTTCACATGAATCTGGCTATAATATACAAAAAGAATTTTTCAAATCGGTCTAGTAGTTCCAGAGATTAGCGCGTTTAAACAAACAAAAAAACAAACAAAGTCTTCCGCTTTATTGTATTAAAAAAGTATAGATAAAAAAGAGCCAAGGCTATATATACCGATTCATTGATATTTCGATAAAACTGGCGCGTATATATAAAAGTACTCTGTGACTGGCGCCGTTTTCAACGCGTGCGTCCAGCGAGACGTACCACAGAGTACATTATATATTGCAGACATAGAGAAAACAGCTGATATTTCAGAGTGGCGCTATCTGCTTCTAATTACAGGAACTAAAAATTTGCTATACATACGTATAATGAGAACCTATATATAGGTTTATTGCGACCGAACTAAGAGAACTGAACTTCCGCCATATTGTGACGTGCTAGCGGGAAAAATACGATTTGTTATTTTAAATTAATATTTCCCATTTACACGTCACAATATGGCAGAAATTCAGTCCAATTCTTAGTTTGGCCACATTATACATTATTTTGTGTACTGTTTACGTAGGTACTTGAAATATATCAGAAAATATCATAGAGATACGACTGGAAATATATGTACTTACAGAAAATATAATTGAGGGAACACAAAAAAAAAAATAAACAAATAATATGATTAATTTTTATTTTCTCTTTTTCTTAAAATATTCATAACATTATTTTTGTATTGCGTCCTCTACATCATAATCCAATCTGGTGCCCTTCAACAATTTATTAACATCACGACACCAGTTGAAAATGAAGAACTTCGAACTCAAATCAAAGATATAGTTTGATAGTTCGGACTTATGTTTTTCACATTTAATAAAATCCATATTAATGGTTATACATAAAACTTTTTTTTATATATTGCCTTATATTTTTCAAGATGAAGATTGATGTTTGACAGTTGACGTAAATCACAGTGGACGGATGTCAGGGCTGCGGAGTGAATAAAACTTTTTGAAGTCGTTGTAATACCAGACTAATTTATTTTTTGTCAAAAGTGCCACCTAGATTTAATTGTAGTAACTAAAATTCATTAGGTTTTTTTGTATTGGACAAGAATATTACTAAGTGTTAATACGGTGAGACGTACACTCTCATACTGAACGGCAGGCGTGTGTATAGAGACAGCTCCGATACCGATATTGCTCTGATCGCTGTGCTCCCTAGATTGCCCCTGCGGCAGGCAGGTCAGTAGCCGCACAAAACACTAATACCTACATATATATTTATCTATGTCTAATACCCTTAAGGTGGCTACTGACCTGCCTGCCGCAGTGGCAATTTAGGGTGTATGAGTGGGGATGACCCTTAATTGCCTCCTTAATTGTGATGTGTGTAGGCAAGCAGGGGCAATTTTTTAAGTCGGCCCTGCGGCAGGGCGGCAGGAGCGCAGTGTTGCAAAAGTTCCCGATTTATCGGGAGATCTATTGATTTTAATTAGTATCTCCCGATATCCCGATTTAGCGAACGTATCCCGATTTTTTTACATTTTCAACTAATGTAAAATAATAATCATAAATAAAATTGAAAAGTAATAATCAAAATACTAATTGACTGAATTGAATGAACTTTTAACACAAAATCCATGTACGGGGACTTCCCGAAATTGCTCGCACCACGTCCTATGGGACCTATATCTATAACCTTATTAGGTTTTTAACTTCGCGGTATGGTTAAAGCATATTGCACTGATACATCTTAAAATAGAATTCATTATTGTCTGGTAAGTGTACGGAGGAGATTCCTAAAGATTACTTTGTTCGGGTTGTTTTACGAATTAGGTAGCTTAGGCCATGTATATATAGTGTTGTTCGTTCGTAGAATCACATTCACTAATTATTAGCCTTCTTCTGTTTTATTGAGAACTGTTGTGCTTTATGTCCAAATTTGTTAGGTAGCATTAGTTATCAAAAAATTAATTTAGAATGGCGTTTGCTTCTAAATACGAAAGAAATTAAATCACTCAGTGAAGAAACAGAAGAATTTTGGAGAAGCGTGAGTAGCAAAAATATATAATCATAAAATTTTAGTTTAAATTATAAAGACATTATTTTGATCGCAAAAAAAATGAAACGAAAAAGAACATCTAAAAGAACGTTTTAGATACATTTCTAAACTCATGGATGTAAATAAAAATCTCCCGATTTCTCAAGATTGTTAGCTGGCAAATCTACCGATTTTTTATTTTTCACTTTTGCAACACTGCAGGAGCGCAAGACCTTCCTTGCTCCCTAGATCGGCCCTGCCGCTGTTGCGTGTGTAGCGCAATTGGGCCAATTTCGTTCGGTTCAGGCCCGTGACAGTTTAGTTCCATTCTACGCAACTTAGCGCTACCATCGCAATTTTTTCTCTGGCTGCGGACGCCATTTTAAAACGCCATATTGTGTTAATGTCAAATCAAATTGTCAAAATTATCGATATTAATTGCCGCAATTATTTATCTAATTGTATTGTAGACTGAGTTATGAGTTTAGCGCAAGTGTATTTCCTCGCATTTATGTTGCATTGAGATCTTGGACGCAAAGTTTCCTCCGTTATTTGTGAAAATAACAATATTCTGTTTTTGTGCTGGTCATGTGCATATTGTATACTATAATGGAATACGAAAAGTGCTGTGTTGGTGCAGATTCCCTAAAAACGATAATTTAAGAAACTTGTGGATGTATTTCATAGTATCCACAAATTCCCAGATCATTGAACTTCCCAAAGAACGTTTCTTGACTAGGCAGAATATCTTATACAGGGAAGGTACTCACTTAATTCATAACCATTTGAATTATAGCTGTTTTAAAATTAATATAAAAAGTAACTTGTAAAGTAAAATATTACTTACACTGTGATTAAATATGATTCCTGTGGTTTAATTTCTTTAATTTGCTATTTGCTTAATCTAATTAACAATAAATATTGCTCTGTTTTCGTCAAAATTCTGCCTATAT